ACCTTAAAACAACCTTTAATGTAATTATTTCAACCTTACGATATAATGTGCTTATTATCGGTTAAAAGGTTAATGATACTTTTATCTTTTCTAGCAACTCACTCTCGCTTCCCTCGAATTCACCTCTAGAAAAACAAAAACAAATCTATCCCATGGGAGCTATATTATTGTAAAGTTTCATTAAAATCCATTGAGTAGCTTTTGCGTGACAGAGTAACAAAGATCCATACATCTTTATTTACTTTTATCTTTAGAAGAATTTACATCCTCACAAACATTCGTATTTATAATATTAGTAGGATTATTACTGAAGTATTCTTGCATAAATCTTATTTATAAAGCTTTCAGTTAAGTTAAAATTGAATCAGCTTTAGCATCAGATGTTACGTTAGGTGAAGTTAAGCCTTTTATCTTCAATGTTCTCACATATTAAATGAAATTGAGTATAATTTAAAGGTAAAATTTTACAAATATTATTTACTAGCGACTCACCCTCGCTTCGCTTGGGTTCGTCCCTAGCTTGCTTATATTAGTATAAATGTTTGTTGTTGGTTTGCATGTACAGTTCAAAATATGTGAAAAAAAATGGAGTGCTTTTCAATTTTAATACTATTGTTTTTTTTTTTTTAATTTATTAAGAACACCAACAACATAACACACAAATACATTTTAAATTCATTCTTAATACATAAGTTCTAGTATGTTAGTCTCTTACAGGTGTCCATAGCACTGACCAACAAATTACATACATGCACTGCTAATATAAAAAGAAGATAAAGTGACTACAAAATAAGGGCAAAAACTTGAAAAACATTAAAATTTATAAATAGGGTTTAAGTTATCTTAACTAATTTTATGTATATAAAAAAAATAAAAACTATGATATATGTAAAAAATATTTAAATTACTTACTCCTAAAATGTAAACACAAAATGTCTTAAGAACTTTGCTAAAAATAATAGTGGTAGGGACAGATAATTAACTACATACAATAAAATAATGCCGCTTAACTTAGAATGATTTACAATTCTCCGCGGATTTTTTCGACCAAGGTATTCTTTAGTTTGAGCAAATTGTTATGAAATAGATCAACGTCACACCCGAAAGACAGAGTACTCAGTTCATTATATGCTTTAAGCATTCGAGGAAGAGGAGAGTTCGAGCAAGATACCGTCCTAGAAACTGGCATATCGAACGGACCTTTGTTTATTGCGCGCGACCCAGGTCGCGGAATCCTGAAATAAATATTCTCTAATATTAGTGGACAATCCAACATTCCATTTAGTATCTTAAATAATGTGCAAATATCAATTATACGTCTCCTATTAAATAAAGTGTCAATTTTAAAAGTCGTCAACCTATCCTGATAATCGCTTCTCTTACTTATATCGCTATTATACACAAGATACTTGGTAAAGGAACGCTGTATTCGTTCGATTCTTTCGGAATGATATGCTTGGTAGGGATTCCAAATGACGCTTGCATATTCCAATATGCTTCTTACTAAGGCATTAAAGATAACTATCCTAGTCTTTGGAGAACGCAAGTCTTTACATGTTCGCCTCAAAAAACCAAAAGATTTTAATGCTTTCTCTATCATATGATCATAATGTCTCGTAAAACTCAACTTGTTGTCAATAATAACTCCCAGGTCTCTGACAAATGGGGTTTCTCTAATACACACTCCGTTAATGTGGTACGAAGCATCAATTTTTTTTTTCTTTTTGTGATTTTTATAAAGCAACATTTGGAAGCATTTATTATCATACCGTTACGAGTACACCATTCTTGCACACGATCTAGGTCTTCTTGGAGCATAACTATATCAACAGAACTTTTAATAGGCATGAAAATTTTCATATCGTCCGCGAATAAGAGACAGTTGCTATTTATAACACATTCTACGATATCATTAATAAATAAAATAAATAAAATCGGTCCCAAGTGAGAGCCTTGAGGCACACCCGACACTGCTTTGTACCAACGTGACTCATATCCCTTGACCACTACATATTGAACTCTCCCCTTTAAATAAGAACTAAACCATGATAAGATATGCCCACTTATGCCATAAAAATATTGTAATTTAACGAGAAGAATTTTATGATTTACCCTGTCGAATGCATTACTAAAGTCCGTATACACAGAATGGACCTCAATCCCCTCATCAAGAGAACTATTCAAGCTGGTAACGTAATTTAACATGTTGCTGATTACAGATTTTTTACTTTGAAAACCATGTTGTCTATCTGAAACTAAATTCTTTGTGTGTTCTACCAAAATGGGACAGACTAAAGATTCAAATACTTTCCCAAAAATTGACAACATTGATATTGGTCTGTAATTAGCAACATTTGCAACATCTTCCTTCTTGTAAACTGGAACCACCCTCGCTTTTTTCCATTCGGTTGGAAAAGTTCCCGTTTCGAGAGATCGATTAAAAATCAATTTCAATGGTAGAGCAAGAACCTTCGCACACCTTTTTATAAATACACCTGGAATTCCATCTGGACCACAAGCTTTATATATATCCAGTTTTTTTAATTTATTTAATATAATTTTTTCATCAAAATTTATCCTGGATAGAGTGTCACAAAGCGGTGAAGGAGTTGTACATACACGAACTATACTATCGTTTGAAGTATTAAACGTAGACTCAAATTGTTCAGCAAATAAATTTGCAATATCAATGTTACTTGATGCTGATTCGCTATTACGATAGACTAGACTAGGTATAGAAGTATTCTGTTTCTTTTCTTTAAGAAACCTCCAGAAAGCCCTAGAATTACGCTGAATGTTCTCCTCAGTAAGAACACAGTGCTCGCGATAACAATCATTAAGTTCAACTCTACATCGCGTACGAAGTATTTCAAACTCATATTTATCACGGGGGTTTTTATAGGTACGATATCTTGCACTAATTTTATTTTTTTCATCTAAGAGCTTGCGAGTGCGACGCTTAAACCATGCGGGCAGGGAAGAAGGCCTACATTGATACTTGGGTACATAGGAATCAAATATACTAGACAATTTGTCGTAAAATATACATATCATTTCATCTACCTCTTTCATGTTACCCAATAACTTACACCAGTCAGTGGCTTCCATTGAAGCAATAATTTTTGAGTAATCTGCTTTAAAAAAGTTGTAGTCCGAGCGAGGTTTATTTTGCTCACTCTCAGTTTTTAAATGTAAATTCATATTAATGCTTATTTCTAAAGGGGGATGTAATTTGTCAAGTTTACTTATAAACTCAAGAGGTTCAGTTACTGAAATATTATGTATAGTACTTAAAACTAAATCTCTAATCTTACCATCAACTCCTTTCACTGTGTTAAATTGATACAACTCATTAAAAGATAAGAAATCAGTTAAAGCATAACCTAAGTTGCAGTTATAATTTCCAGGATGTGCATATGAGGCGTCTTCTTTATTTTCCCAGGTAATAAAGCTGAGATTGAAATCACCCACTATCAATACTTCATCGACACTTGGCACAATAGTATTAATATTATCCAAAGTTTCAGTAAGATCATTCATTTTTACAGGAGGAGGCATATATACTACGCAAATTCCTATACGTTTGATTTTCCTATTTATATTTAATTCTACAATGATCCATAAGTCTTCAAATTCGCTTTCCCAACTTTGCATACGGAAAGATGTAAAATTCTTATTTACAGCTAACAGGATGCCTCCACCGTCAAGTTTGTGAATACAATCGCGATCACGTCGATAAACTATATATCTGGAATCTATAAACTCAGAAGTTCTTATATCAGATTTTAGCCAAGTTTCTGTGAGTGCAATTACACAATAATCATTCTGCAGTATGTTCATATAAATATCGGCAGTCTTAGTTCTCATTCCACGAATATTCTGATAATACAGATTGAATTTAACGTAATACAACCACTACAAAACGACCATATATAGTATTTACTTAAGTTTATCTAAATCGGTCATGTTATTAATCACTTTAGCTGAAGATTTCTAATCCTTTCTAACATAGACCTTACCGTTGCGGACCCATACAAAATTATATGAAATTTCCTTAGCTTTTTTTCTGGTTGCGGCATGTAGCATTTTATTTGGAGGTGACAGATGTTCCGACAAATAGATGGGTGCTCTATCGCCACCAATTCCAATTGCCTGGGTTGAGAGTTTGTCCAATCGATTTTCTCTGTTGTACTTATAATATGCCGTTAAAAAAGCATCGCGATTTCTAGGACTTCGGAATTTAACGATAGCCGCTCGGGGGCGCTTGTATTGTATTGTATTGTATATTGGACTCGTTTTCCGCACTTTGACTCGCATTTGGTGCGTTGTACGTTGCGAATCCTGGCTAGTTCAGCCAGCCTAACTCCGTCCAAAAGCGCAAAAGCTTCCTGGGAGCTTCACAGGCTTCGCGGAGCGACCTCACCGGTTCGAGGATTTCATTTCGTTGGGAAGTTACCGCTACGCATTCCAGGACTACGTGAGCGACTGATTCTACAGCGCTAAAACACCCTCTGCAGAGAGGGCTGTCCGTTGCGCCAATGTTAAATAAGTGTTTGTTTAAGGGACAGTGGCCCGTTATTGTCCCTATCATTATTTTTAGGTTGGTTCTATTTAAGTTTAGTAGGCGTTTAGTGAGACGTGGGTTGACTGCGGGCAATGCTGATCTAGCTTGCCTGCAGTCTGTCGTTAGCGACCATCTCTTATTTTGAAGCGTCAGCGTTCTTTGGCGGATCCAGGTGCGAACCTGTGAAAAAGGTAGAGGAAGAAGTGGGTATGGGCCAGTTACTTCTAACCTCGATCCTTTCTTTGCAAGTTCGTCAGCTGCATCGTTGCCTAGTGAGCCGCTGTGGCCCTTGATCCATTGAACAGTGACTTGATTGGTCAGTGCTATTGTATCGAGGGCATGGTGACACTCAATTATTAATTTATTGTTTGTTTGTTTGTTTGTTAACGCCTGCAGAACGGCAGCGCTATCGGAGAGGATTTTTATGGTATAATTATTTACCTCCCGTCTTTGCACTGCCCTCTCGGGGGCGCTTATTATTATTGTCTTTCTTGGCAACTCGAAAACAAGACATAACATCTGTATCATTGATGGTGTGAGAAACAGTTTTACCAATCTGTAAAACAGTTTGGACCAAATTTTCCGATTTAAACTCAGGCAAGCCATTTATTTCGACATTACACTCGCGTGAGTGCTGTTCTAAGCTAGACAATCGAAATCCAAGATCCTTCACAGTTTCTTCAAGAACTCTATTTTGTGTCAACAGTTCAACGACTTCCTTATCCCGTGAATCCAGCCGGCTCTTCAGTTCGTCGTACTTATTTGAAAAAAACTCAACAGTTGAAGTCAAATCACTTGCTTTATTTATTAGATCAGTAAATTTAGCTTCAAGAACGTTATGAACAGCGTGAATTGCCTCAGTGACAGATTTATTTATTTCGTTTTTGATCGATGCTAAAGTTATTTCATCCAATTTTGTTGTATTCAAACACTTCGAACATGTAGCTTACGGACTAGCATTTACTGTATTTGTTTCCGTGCAACTGCTGGGCGAAGTTTGCGATAGGCCTCGAACAAGTACATTTGCACTATTACCACCTTTTTTACGTTGATTGACACAAATAGGACATCTCCAAGTTGATTTGAATTAAGTTGTCAGAGAGGATAATTGACTCTCATTATGACCAGCACATTGAAGGTGGAAATAATTTTTGCACTCGACGCATGCAAGAGATGACTTTTTTAATACTTTATTTGCGCAAGTAGGGCACTTGATAACTGTTGAAGACATGATTTTAATATTTTGTCCTATATTCTTAAAAACATTAAATTGGAAAAAATCTTTTTACCGTAGCCTGGGATCGAACTCGGCTTCGTCGCGTTCGTAATCTTAGGAGATAGGCACAAGGCCAAGCCGTTCGTTACGTTGCAGTATAAAATTGTAACTTGCTTTCTTAGTCTTCACAGAGTACTTCTTGGTCCATACTGTCTAAGTCTTGTGCCCTAAACAAACTTCCAGCTACCCACCTTATTTAATATTTTTACTATCAAAAATCCAATTTCTGGTTCACTTTAAAACAAACTGTTTATTCACATCAAACTCCTTCATTCAACTTTAAATACATACAATAATTAACATTATACGCATTTATCTTAATAAGAGTAATATTATGAGGTTAATTTAACAAACGAGCAGTGCGACTGTAATGTACCGAGCACGACAAAGTCGCGCGCGCAACAGATTTAATTGAATATGTGCCCTATTTTAATTGAATATGTGCTTGTATGATCTAACATCAAGCCGATGCCGATGCTGATCATAAAGTCCTGGATTCCAGTCTTGGGTTGAGCTATAAGAGAAATTAGATTTTCTATAAAAAAAACTTAGAAGTAAAGATACTCTTTAGATATGTATGTGATATAATCCCACGTCTTACCGAAATCAAATTCAATCCTGCACCTGATTTCTTAACTATCAAGTGAGAGGGATTACTCATCGAATGATCAGAGTAAGGGAGTAAAAAATGAGTCTGTATCTTCACATACTCTTGTGCCTTATATTATGCAATCTGTGTAGACGTTTAGTTCTCTTTGATAAAATGTATAGCTAGTAAAGATTGTACCAATGTTCATGTTTGATATTTAACATCCACCTAATATAGAGAATAAAGAAGATAAGGAACAATAAAAAATGTGTACGGACAGTACAAAATAAACCCCGTATGTAGGTATTCATATATGTGTGTATTATATAATTTCATGTGAACATTTTGTACTTTTATGGGTTCTTGCCAAAATATACTGTACTACTAGACACATATAAGTTTGATGTATTTAGTTGTCGAACTCAATTCTCAAGTTACAGGCAACACTAAACTGAATTTATTACTAAGCAAATTAATTCTGGAAACGGTTAAACAGAGACTACAACCTAGATGCTTTGTAGACCATGAAATAGATTACAATGGAATAATTTTAGTGTTTGGTGTAATTGACGACACGTTTGGCTCAGTTTGTAGTGACACTACTTGCTGCGCCAGCGGTCGTGGGTTCGAGTCCTGCTGGGGGCATTCATTTGTGTGCTAAGCACGAATGTTTGTACTCCAGTTATGGGTGTTTATATTTATAATATGTATGTATTTAAAAGTTATACAGGGTTATTTTTAATTTACTGAAAACCTTTTGGGAATATACTATTTACATATTAACAACAACATCTGTAACAGAAAAAATAATATTTCTTAAATTTTTATTTCCATACAAAAATAAAAATATTTTTTTTGCACCTTCTAAACTTTAAAGTTCTAGCATCTGGCCAAGTTTAAATGAGTAAGCGCGGCTTGCTACAACAATCCACCCCTCCCCCTCTACCGGACACGCACTTTATTTTGCTAATGCTCGACTATAACCGTTTAGAAGGTGCAATAAAAATATTTTTATTTTTGTTAAATTTAAGATATATAATTACATGAAAATTGAAAAATATGAAACGAAAATTTTGTAATACCTATCGAATGACGCAGAGGATTTTATGTCGTTTGAACTCTGCCAATTCTCATTATATATTGTAAAGGAAATAGAAATTCAAATAAAAATAAGTTAGCTAAAATTATTTAAAATATTATTATTGGATTTATTTAACTTTCTGCGAAATATTGTTTTTGATGAAAAGTACTTTCATGTTCTCAGAAAAGTTCTGTATCGTGGTACTTAAATACTCGTAATGTAAGAAGTTTTAATTTGTTTGAGTAAATTTAATCAAACCATTGTCTTCAAAGTTTAAGATTTTCTAAGTTTTCGGTAAATTTAAAACATAGGAAGATTTTCATTATTATATAATACTAGCGAATTAACCACGCTTCGCTCAGACGTGTCGCTGCGTTTTAAATAAATATAAATAGTTATTATCCAATTTTAGCCATGTTAATGTTAATAAATTTTTTCGTGAATTTTCCGATGTTTAAATAGTTTTTATCATATTCGGAGTGGAGGCAAATCCAACAAATTAAAGTTCATAAAAATTGGTCCAGACGTTCTTGAGTTATAAGTATTGTATAGTATTATATTCTTACCGTATATGATATTTTATAAATATATGATTGTAATATGCCTTATTTAATTATTCATTTGTTTTAATTTAATTGCTATATTTGCTAAAGAAGTTTTACTTCAACCGCGCGTAAAGGTTACTCGCACCCATTTTCAACCGACATCTCCAAAAAGGAGGAGGTTCACAATTCGGCTATGTTTTTTTTAATGTTTGTTACCTTAGAACTCCGTCATTTATTAACCGATTTGAACCATTTTTTTGTTTGAAAGTGTATACTTCCAGATTGGTCCCATTTAAACTTCAAAAAAATACCACTCCTAGGGGTGGAAAAATAGCTAATGATGAATTTAACCTAGGTACTTTTAATTGTCATATTGACTTAAAATTTTGTAAGTGTTCCTATTTCCGTTGATAATGCAGTGGTTCGATATCATCGACCTGATCTGATGGTTAGGCCAGAAGGTGGATAAGTGGAACTCTTCAACGGCTAATAGTAGATACTTTGAGTTTGGGCTTATTTTGTTTGATTTAACAAGCCCAATACGTTAGAATCAGATTTTAGAGCCAGAATATTTAGTATTACTAATAAAAGCGAATTTTAGTTTATCAGTCTTCATATAAAAATTGGCATCAAACAAACTTAAACGGCTTAAGCGAATATTTTATTAAAATACTTTCTTTTTACTTTGCTACTAGTATGTCTACACTAAAAAGGATAAAAAAACTTAAAAAAACCGACTTCAAAAAAAGCACTAAAATGTAAAAAATAACTGATTGGTAGTTTTCATTTACTATAGATGCCTAATCAAATATTTTCGAAGTTGGTGCCAGCTGATACACAAATATCAATGTTATGTATTGTATGCAGCCCTTTTTAACGTCCCACTGATGGGCATGGCCGTTCCTTCAGTAGGTACGAGGGGGATCAGGCCATAGACGCTGGCCAAGTGCGGGTTCTCAGACATACAGGTTTCTTCGAAATATTTTCCTTCACCGTTAAGACAAGTAGCAATTATGTTGGAAATGATTCGCACATGAAAATATCAGAGGTGCGAGACCCGGAATTTAAACCCGCTTTACTCGGTTTACCAAGCGAGCGTGCTACCACTGGGCTACCACAAAGTTAACGATAATAATATTTATCTTGCCTAATTTATGTTATGTTAGGTACATTACAATGTTCACGCGTCTTTATTAATTTTCTTCCATGTTTCCTTCTATTCCTACATAATATATTTAAGTAAAGCTAATCTAAAACTAAAGTTGGTGTAACCATAAAGAATATTAAATTATTCAATATATGTTTAAATATATGAATATAGTTTGTTTTGAATAACTTTAATTAATAGTAAAAAATCATTTTTAAAAATAAGATTCTATTTAAATGTTCTAAAAAGAAGAATATAAACTTTAAATTAAATCAAACCCAGGAATTTATTAAATAACACATTTTATTGTTATATAGCTTGTCGCGAGATTTATAATTTTATAAAAAAAAATATTATTTTTTTCTTAGAATATCAAGTTACATATTGTATTCTTGTTTATCTACACGGGTAAATCTCGCGACAAGCTTTTACATTATATAATTGTGTAATATAATAAATAGATGGGTTTAATTTAAAGTTTATTTTCTTCCTTTTAGAGCATTTAAATAAAAGCCTGTTTAAAAAAAATGTACTTTTAATTTATTCTTTGTTTTTTATTTTATTGTTCTCAGCAAGCCCTTTCATTAATATCCATAATATCATGGGGTTGCATTAAAAAAAACATAGTCCGACATCTCTGGAAGTCCGCCATATTGAATTTAGAATGACGTCACTTAGTTAACCATGCATTGTCATCCAAACTAAACGTGTATGCAAATTTTTCTGCTCAAAAAGGTTGAGGATAACTACTTTTAAATTCAGTTGCAAGATTTGACCTGAACAAATGAAAATTGTAAGTTATTAGTTTTATTTTATTAGTATTAGAAGCTTTTAAATAGATAAACAACTCAGCATGAGCTTAGTTTAGAGAAAGCAAAAAAAAACGTCGTAAAATTATTAATAATATGTAAACGAATCTAATAAATCAATTTCAACCTGTATTTAAAAATTCAAATCAATTTTAACCTGTATATGAAAATTATATGGGACGACCTCGTGATCTACCTTAATTTAATACGATTTAAAACCGTTACGAAGAAATCGGTAAATACATTTATAAAAATATACGCTCGAATACAGAAATGAGACAGTATAATGTGTGATGTAGACGAAAATCTCTTTTCGAAATTACATTAAATAAGCGTGCATATACATTAAAAGTTATATTTATACTCATATTCTTCTATAAATTACAAATTCATACCTTTTATCAGTGGTGGGCGGGATACATCGCTTGTGGCACGGATGGACGTCGAGGATGAAGAGTTTTTGAGTGGCGGCCACGCACCGGTAGGCGCAGCGTAGGCAGGCGGGCTGATCGTTGACTTGGTCAAAGTCACTAGATTCTATGTCCACAAGTTGACATTTTTTGACTTTTACGACCTTCTTATTTTCTTTTCTATATATAGTATTTTCTATATATATCTGTTGATTTTGTGTTAAATTTAGCGGTTTCCAAAAAATTTTGCGTGACATGTGTAGATATCTCATTTTATTTGTTTTAGTCAAAATATTTCTAATTATGATGTCCCTCCCATTTTAACATTTTTATTATAAAGGGATAAATATGACTTCTCTCAGGAGCATCAGATGGAGTGGAGTGGAGTGGAGTGGAGTGGAGTGGAGTGGAGCGGAGCAAAGTGGAGTGAAGTGAAGTGAAGTGAAATGAAATGAAATGAAATGAAATGAAATGAAATAGAGATGTGCCGACTACGACTTAGGCCGACTAGCCGACTAGTTGGCTAAGCCGATCACTATTTCGGGGGATTTTCCTGATGCTTCGCTTACCGCTCATTTGCGCTCAAGTCGCAGCCGCCACCCACGAACGTGTCAGAACATGTTTTGTTTACTTCGAATTGTTTCTTGAATTTTGCTGTTGTGCGGGTCAGAGCGGTGTTTTTGTGTAAAAAATATTTTTTTGTAAAGTTAATAGTGTTATTTTTCATTAAAGTGTAAACACTTTTACAACTAAGCCTAATTGAAATTTAATAATGTCAAAAAGAAAGTCTCGTATATGGTTTTTTTTGAACAATTGGACAATGATTCCCGCAAAGTCAAGTATAACCAATGCCAAATGATAATTTCTCGTGGCGGGCATGGGAAAACAGCTAATACTACAAGTATGAACAACCATATTGAATACCGACATCCAAGCCTGATACCTCAGGTAAGTTCTTCGATAAAATGTTCGACCACATAGATTTCTCGCAGTCGCAAATTTAAGCAGAACTAGCTTCAACAGTACCTACTCCGTCAACTTCAATGTCATCAGAGGTCAGTATATCAGTCAGAAAAACCAACAAAATATTAAAGATAGTCTTACTATGCAATGGTCTCGTGGAGATTCAAGATCAAGAGATATCAATATTGCAATAGGTGAGATGATTGCACTAGACAACCAGCCGTTGCCAATTGTTGAAAATACTGGCTTTAGAAACTTGATGAGAAAAGTTATACCAAAATATAACATACTTTTTTTTTGTTGTCTTGCTTCAAAAAATCGGAATTCGCTCCAATAGTTTTGTTATCAGAATTATAATTTATAACTTGAGATCTGCTGGACTGATTTTTATGATCTTTGTTTTGTTGGACTTGTCTTCCTTCACCACAAATATACACCTAGTATCCAGCCATTTTCCAGTTATAAACTTTCAAATAAACTCACATAACAAAAAAACTAAGCAATTTATTGGTTTTTATCAATTTAAAACGTTCCCTAGGAACTCAACAAATATTAACTCTAACTCTGACAGTGTACAATTTTATTGTAGTGAGTATAGATAAATAATAAAAGTAAAAGAACAGAATAAATGGGTTGATTGAAGATTGATCTTTGATAGTCTGTAGTCAGTACGGCGCCTCTCGTGTCGAAACGTAAATTTCTCTTAGATAACTACGATAAAGGCCCAAATTGATTTACATAATAATACCGCAAAGGAACCATGTCTGAATCTAAACATGAAATTTGTCAAAAGTTTTGTTAGCCTCTTTGTTCCACAAACATAGATAATAATTTTTGTAATTTGTGACGTTTAATCGAGGTTATATTTTGACTTGAACTTGAAATGATTTCTGACCTTTTATGGTCTTTTATGGCATCCATTTATATCCGGCAACGCGAATATTTATTGCCCTATCCATTTTCTATTTTATTATATGGTTATATAATATATACCTTGTAGGTACTCGTCTGTTTGTCGGAACATCTGATTTTCAATTGTCATTCCATCGTGTTTTTGAGACTTAATTCAAAAAAGTAGAAAACTTGTAACGTACAAATCGAATTGAGTACCTCCTCTCAAATCGTTTTGTGTCACACTGTAACTTTACCAATTGTAAAACGGTTTTTAGATTCTTGTTAATAATGAGTAGGTCATACAAGTGTAGTCTAAAATAAATTTAAAAATAACTTCTTTGGTTTTTTTCATTTTTTATGTAATTTTTTTTTATTTAAATTTTTGTTTAAGAGGAGACGTCTTGTCCTTAAGAGTCATAGTGTTTGTGTAATAATAATAATAATAATATTGTCCGCCCCAATTTCTGTGGCGGCCAATCTTATTGAGACTACTATCATAGTGCACTAGTGTAAGCGCAGTTCTGTTTGCATAATAGGTACCTAAAGCTGTTATTTTTTTCTGGGACATATTAACACACAGCACCATCTAGTTTCATGGTAAGCGACGAGGCTTGTGTTATGGATACATATTCAAATACATACATATTATAAATATAAACACCCATGACTGGATTATAAGCATTAGTGCTCATCACTCAAATTAATGCCCTCAACGGGACACGAACCCGGGAACGCTTGCACAGCAAGTCACTACAAACTGAGCCAAACGTGTCGTCAATTTTGCCTGGGAGAAATAATGGTTTAATACAGACTCAGAGAGTGAAGGCGGGATAGCATATAGGTACTTATTGGTACATTAATTTGTTTTAATGTTCAATTCAATTCAATTCTTCTTTTCAGTGACTCCTGAGAGTGTATTTTAATGTCTTTTAGACGACCTCAAAGAATTTATGGTTGAGCAGCTCTCGTGACGTTTGACGTTTGAGTTCTATATCAAAGACTTTGCCGCGTCTCAAAGACTTTGAATACGTAGGTTAAGAACTAAATATAAAGTGCAACTAGTGCTAAGAAATAGCCAGTAGCGCTACGAATAAAACCCTAATCAATAATAAATGAAAAAAAAAACATTTTCATATATTTTTTTTAGATGTTTAATGTCTATTCATTGAAGATATGAACAACATTTTGTGTAAGCCTTCTATTTGGAAAGTTAAAATAAATATATTTCGGCACTACCTTGATATATATGTGTATTTAATGTATTTTAATTATGTTTAAATATTCTTTTATAAATATTAGTAAGAAATTATATTCATATAATTAATGTTATTAGATCTTTATCTATAATAACCTGAAGTTTGCTTTATCGGCGAAATTGCGTACTGATTGCTGTTGGGCGCAATAATTGAAATACCAACATCCAATATGCTAGTATTCTAGGAATTAATTCGTGTTTACCTATTAACCAATGTAGCATAGTGACTAGTTTATAATACCTCTAGTGACTCCTCGCTTCGCTTGGGTTCGTCCGTAGCTTGCTTCCCCATATAAACTTTCATCCACATTTTCACCCCATTAAGGGATGATTTCCGGGATAAAAAGTATCCTATGTCCTTTCCAGGGTCTCAAACTATCTTCTTAGCAAATATCATCTAAATCAGTTCAGTAGATCCAGTGATTACCCCCCTACAACCTCACAAACTCACAAACTTTACCTCTTTATAATATTAGTATAGATAAGCAGTTGTATGTTTTAACGCATTTTCTCGTGGGAAGGAGATATTTTCGATCAGTAAAGTAGATAATGTCTTACAGTTGTTGTAGAGAGAGCAGTATTTATATATCAATTATTTGATATTTAGAGATATGTACTTACAATTCTTAAATTAGAATTTAGCTTAAGCCTTATCTATTTATACAAATAATAAAATTCTGAGTCGAACCTGTACATTAAATATTTTTTCGAAAATCTTATTGAAATAGTCAATATTATCGAAACAGAGGCCGAATCTATACTTTTTAGATTATTTCGACACTGTCGTAGAACAATGTCAGATATGATATTACAACGAAATTGACTTTTTTGCAAAATTAGCTTTAATTAATAATAAACTATTGATATATTCAAGAAAAATTAAAATATTCCTAGTACTTTCGGAAATATTCAATTGAACAAAGTATTATTTCAAAATTGTTTCCAAGAAAATCGTCGCGAGTTCAGTAGCGCCACTGTCACTCGACTGTCATCGCTCCGCGTGCGCCGCACTCCGCGCGACGATCTTCACTAGTTGCGATGTTCGACGGCAAACCGGTCTTATTAACAACAATACATGATAGATTCTACATTGGCGTATTATTACAATATTTTTGTTAATTTTTAAAGATTTAATACAAAAACGACCTAAAAATGTCTCGGTCACAAAAAATATTAAAGTTAGTGATAGATAAAGAAGAAATAAGTGACTATTTCGCCGAGCAGGACTCCAGAATTTCAAATAATTTAAACGAAAATACGGACAATCAAGGTAAGTTATTTTTATCAACATTTACTAAGTGTCTTTTATTATTTTTTCATACTAAAAACCGATTGGCTAACATTTTATATAGAATTATTCAATTTCCGTGTCGTATCTTAACAAACAACATTGTTCTATGGAAATGAAAAAAATTAAATTTATTTAATAAAAAATATATTTTGAGAATGTTTTCTTTATGTACTCTATTTATATTATTTATTTACCTAAGATATGGTATTTGACGTTTTTGGCGTCGTATGTTTCCTAGTTTCGTTTTTCACCCAAACTTATTTCAATTATATAGATTGTTTGAATACTTCCGGCGTTGTTCTTCGGAAACTTTATACATTTTTGATGTAGCGTATTGAGAACCAACTATGTTCTTCGGCATAAAATTATATAGGTTTTTGTTCAGTATGTTTGAATGCTAAATATAGATATATAAATGACTAGATCTTTTTATTTGAGACTTTTTTGTCTCAGTTAGACATATCTTTAAATATTTTACTATGTTACAGGCCTTGGAGTTGTAAAACCAGAATCACCATTACCCCCTGGAGCGGAAATTATAGTCGACCAATTAAGGGAAGTAGCGCAAAAAGTATTTGCAGATGGCGATGAAGATCAAAATTTAGTTGAAGACTTAACACCATTTGGTATAGAAGATGCCAACACCAGTTTTGAGGCTTCTCCTCCTGTGGTCATCGAAGAATTTGAGAACATTGTTGCCAGTACACCTAAATCACCCTTAACAATTCTTACTCCCATGCCTTCACCGACTAATAGTCACAAGACATGTAATGACCTATTTTGTGCTTTACACGATCACTGGACAGACGCAGTACCATCTTCACCAAGTACTGTAAGTGGACTAAGTTCTTTTT